CCTTTTTCACTCGTTGTGAAGCTCTTCCAAGCTCTTGAATCGACCACGCTGCTCCCTTCCAGTCAACTTTCCAGTAATATGCTTCGATAGACAAGTCTGTAAACAGCAGCAGCCAGACTTTTCATTAATTCTGTGGCCTAAACTCCTTGTGGAGGATGACCATGATCATCCTGTGGACAACTTACAAGTCAGCAGTCTTCTTCATGATTGTGGTTAATTTACCGAACTGGGCCGAGAGATGCACAGTATTTGTACTCAAATTGAAAAACTACACAGCTGATGGTAAATATTTACATTTTTTACGATGTTCTAATCTCTAACATGCACTCGTAAAGTCATAGCACATGTAAGTTTTGCACTTCTTTTGAAACTGATAGCTTTTATGTCTCCATAAAATGCATTAAATGAGCAGTAAATACATCTGTCTGATCATGTGATAATATCAATTACGGTCGGCTGATCAGTGGAACACAGTGGTCCCTTTAAAGTGTTTTTTCTATCATCCGGTTTACAGTTTAATCAGCCATCGTGTCTATTTCTTCACCAGACGCCGCTCCGACCATCACCTGACAATAAAGTGAATCTTTACACAAACAGAGAGCATCGTGAGCCAGTTCAAAGACCAGCCCAGCCCTGCAGCTTGACATGTGTAAGAAAATAGGACAAATTCTGAAGAGTTCCATCCAAACACCAGCTAAAGTATTGGATGGACAGACCGAGTGCCAGAAGTGTGTTTTGCCAGAACAGTTAATGCAGCAGAATCTTTTAGAGGCCTGCAGACCGACCAGTGCTGCTGCCAGTGAAGCACAAAGTCTTCACATCCTCTACTTAACAATCCATTACCTGAAAAATCTAAGTATTAGCAAATGCAATTAAAATATGAAAGCTGACATCCTGGTTTGGCCCCTCTGACTGATACATGAACTTATGAGATTATTAACGGTGGAGCATCAGTGTGCCAGCAGCATGTTGGTGTTGGAGCTGCTGCAGGTGGAGCTACTTTAACTACTTTATATACAGAGACAGGAGATCAATCTGAGGCTCAACACATAACTAATGGGAATGGAAAGAAAAAATAAGTTTTGATGCACAAATCTGTTTTCAGGTGTTACATCTTAAATGTGAACCTGACTACATACTGTGAGTTTTGTGTTTTAAAAGTTTGTTTTTTTATCCATTGTGCAAGATTGCGGAGCAGAGAGCACCATAAGTCACTCTGGAAGTAGTGGGATAGACGTAGAGAGTAGCATAACATGAAAATACTCAAAGCACAAGTACTTGCAAGTAACTATACTCACTTCAGTTACTTTGCACGACTGGCTGCTGCAGTGAATTATGACCTGGCCTTACAGTTTGATTTGATTTAATTAAACACAATCTGCTCAACATTATCATTTTGCCCTACACATACACTTTGATGCACCACATTGTGTAATTCTGCAGGACCCACTTCAGTTGTGTTAATTCCTCCACAGCTGCCTGGTGCAGCCTTGGAACACTGACTCATTACTGTGGATTCACTCTGAACGCTCACAGGCTCCTGACAGGCCACCTGTTCCCAGTGTGCCACACTTACAGGTGAGGACCAGGTGTCCATCCTCCACTGCGGTCCTGTCGGGCCGGATAGAGAGCTCTATGCTGCCGGTGTCCACGTTCCTCTGGTGCGTTGAGGAGTTGAAAGATTCTGCGGAGCGGCAGTGATCCCGCAGCCACACGTAGTTAAAGCGCATCGGTGTCCCTCCATAGCTGAGCTCTGGTGGGTTCACGTGTTGGAAGGGTTTTAGTGATAAAGTTTAAAATTTTTTTAAAAAAGTCAGGTTAAAGTATGCAGATGAACTCACCGAGACAGTCCTGGTGCAGATGGACAGCGGCAGATTTGGCAGCACATCCGCGGCTCTGCGTCCGGGGTCTCCAGGACGGCTGAGCGCGTCTGAGCGCAGGACGCAGCGTCGCGCTCAGCCTGACAAACATCCCGCTGGATGAACCCACAACACAGTCTGACGTCTAAAATTAAAGTGGGTGAAAAAAATCCCCAGAAAACAAAATTGCGCAATCACAGAACAGAGTCACAGCAGATTGGGGCTCACTTTGGCACAAGTTTTTATAGAGTGCCAATTTTGGCTACGCAGTGAAAGTCCGAGTTAATCATTAAACTATCCACAGCGCTATAGGTTCTTCTTCGCGTGTTTCCTTCTTCTTCTTCTTCTTCTCCCCTTCAGACGTGGCTCGGTTTAATGCACTGCTGCCCCCCATTGGTGCCTTTATTACTGTTGCCTATAGGAAAGACTATGGAACACACAGATCTACAGCCAGGTGACAAATTAAAGGAAAAACCGGAACCTCTGACCCCTACAGGGAGAGGATTTTGGTGCATTTTTCCTTTTCGGGTCCACATAGGGAAGTGTCAGTGTAAATCATGGCAAAGCTGTTCTGAGTGGTCGCCTTTATCCTGTCATGAAACACGTCCGTCCTCCTCCAGGTCACAGTGACCCTGTTGTCTGCCTCCAGCTGATTGCTGAGTTTATGCACATTTGAAACTTCTTTTATTCAACTTCTTCTGTTCGGCGAAGGTGTGTCTTTAATAACTTTAACGTTTCTCGTA